ACTCCAGAAGTCGGCGGCCCCTCCTGCAGCGGCTCCACCTCCACTCCAGAAGTCGGCGGCCCCTCCTGCAGCGGCTCCGCCTCCACTCCAGAAGTCGACGCCTCCAGTCCAGAAGTCGACGCCTCCGGTCCAGAAGTCGACGCCTCCGGTCCAGAAGTCGAAGGTTCCGGTCCAGAAGTTGATGGTCCTGTTCCAAAAGTCGGTGGTCCAGAAGTCGGCGGTCCAGAAGCCGGCGCCTCCGGACCAGAAGCCGACAGTCCAGGTCCAGAAGTCAGCGGCCCAAAATTCGGCGGTCCAGAAGCCGGTGCCTCCGGACCAGATGCCGACAGAGGTCGACGCTCCTTCCCGTCCAGAGGTCGACGCTCCTTCCCGTCCAGAGGTCGACGCTCCTTCCCATCCAGAGGTCGACGCTCCTTCCCGTCCAGAGGTCGACGCTCCTTCCAGTTCAGAGGTCGACGCTCCTTCCAGTCCAGAGGTCGACGCTCCTTCCAGTCCAGAGGTCGACTCTCCTTCCAGTCCAGAGGTCAACGACGCTCCTTCCAGTCCAGAGGTCGACGACGCTCCTTCCATTCCAGAGGTCGACTATCCTTCCAGTCCAGAGGTCGATGCTCCTTCCAGTCCAGAGGTCGACGCTCCTTCCAGTCCAGAGGTCGACTGTCCTTCCAGTCCAGAGGTCGACTGTCCTTCCAGTCCAGAGGTCGACTGTCCTTCCAGTCCAGAGGTCGACTATCCTTCCAGTCCAGAGGTCGATGCTCCTTCCAGTCCCGAGGTCGACGCCCCCTCCAGTCCAGAGGTCAACGTCCCCTCCAGTCTGACGTCTCCCCCTCCGGTCCAGAGGCCGACGTCTCCCCCTCCCCAGCGTGTGGATCCTCACCTCCATTTCACTCACCGGCACGCCTGTGACAAAATGCTGCAAAGTTGATTAAAACAAGTGAATAACAGCTCCTGCGGATCTCGATGAAGGCTGAGGAGATAATTCTGCTGTCTGAGCAGGAAAATATCCAAAACATCTCTTCTGTCAGAGCTACAAGGCTCTTTGTCTTCTCCTTCCAGACGGGGAGAGGGAGCTATAGTCATCAAATTTCAAAATGGTCTCCTCATCTCCTTGATGACATCATTAAAGATTTAAGACTCATGATAATTTATTGTCATTTCACAGGAAAACAAAGCAATTACTGCAGTTTGCCCTCTTCCCAGCAGAACTGAAGGGATACAATTTGTGGAATGAAGTCTGTCCCTCGTCTCCTGCCCTTTTCGCGATCCGATGTGACTGAGTGGAGTTCAGACGGAAGGGCAATTTCTGAGAGTGAAACTGAGACAGAGCGGAGCTGATGTTTCTGAATCACTGGGTCAGTGGGTCACAGACATCACTGGACATCTAACAATCCAACGACCCTCCGTGCCTCTCCGAGCTCCCGAGGAATCGCCCGTGTTCTCCAAACGCAGCTGCACGAAGCAGAACTGGCTCAGCAGCAACACACCAGCAAACACAGACATGCGTACGGTGCCATGGAGTGCTGATACAGGAGCGAGCCCCTCTGAGAGTTGCACATGTAGAGCACAGACCCTCTGATACAGAAGAGCACCTAGAGACCAAGGTTGTGTTTAAACTCCATTAGGAGCAAAGACTCCCTAATTAAACCAATGTTTTAATTAGGATTTGGACAGCCGAATGAGGAGGGATAATGGCGTTCGTTTATCCAACAGAGAGCGTTTATTTCAAATGAGTCACGCCAACATCTTGATGAGTGGACCTCTTTGTGTATGATCCATCAGTACAGTCATGACTTTGGAAATAATGTTTTTTTTTTAGATTTTAAAGCTGTAAAATTGCTAAAATAGTTGGTTTTAGTCAGATCTTTAGAAATAACTTTATAAATTAAATCATATTTGGATCTCACTACAGTTACAACAAAACTCACTCCGGCAGTGTTGTCACTCTCCACCGCCAGTTTTGGCACAGGGGGTGGTGAAGTAAAAACCTGCAGGTGGCTGATGGGAACTCTCAGCCGAATCAACTTCAGCATCCTTGAAGTAATGCTGCTGATGAAGAGGCAGCCTGTTACACAATAGTAAGTCCAAAAGGCAGAATAATATAATAAAAATAGCTGCCAAGAGCTAAAAAGAACCCAAGCAGAAAACCTCAATAGGCCTGATTATTTATTTATTTATTTATGATTTATTTATCACCGATAAAGTAGCAAAACATGGAAAATGGGGTGCAGACCTTTCATTTGTGAATGAATTCCTGCTGGGCAATGAGAATTTATTAGTAGTAAAAATTAAAAATGAGCAATTATAATTCTGTTTGATTCTCTGAGTACATTTAAATGTTTTTCCTTTTTATTCCTCCAAACATTTTGGAAATTATTCTATTGAGATTCCTTAATTAGATATTCATGGGAGGAATGTCACTTGAGCTTGAATGAAATTCTGGAAGTTTTTTTTCTATTGCTACATGAAAATCTATTAATGGAGAATTGACAGCAAAAATATCTTTTTGACCAAATCCCTAACAGGTATTAAAATAAAAGCTTATAGGGTTTCAGAGAGAAAATGGGCCATCTTGGTGTCACTATTAAAAATAATTTAGATATTATTTCTCAAATCCAAACATGTTTATTGTCGATTTTCTTTCTTGAAAACTTGTTTAATCTGCGTTATTGTTAAAGTAACGCTTAGCACTTTCCTGCATAGACTTGGATACGTGGACGCCCCATTAGGAGCTGGAGGCCGTAACACCGTTGCCACCATATTGGGTGGGTTCCTCACTTTCCAAACCCAACTGGAGTCAACGCAGTATGAGCAGCTATGCCCGGTTTTGTGCAGCCTATGGTTGCAACAACCGGTGCACTACTGAAAACAGATTTTGTGGGATTACTATTGACTTTTCTAGCCTACCTGTTGGGATTAAAATTTTTTATTGATTTTACTTTTTATTTATATTTTTGTCATCGTGGCATAGCATATGTCTGATTTTGTGAAAAGCACAACAAAAGTTAATTTTTTGTTTAGTAAACACCTTCCCCAGTAGAAATAAATGCACTGGGAACTCATCCAAGATGGCAACCCACTGCTATGCCAGCTCTAATAGGCAGCACCACTCCACATCCCGTCTACATATGGTGCATTCCAGTTTTCCTCGGAACTCGATTTTCTGAGATAAGTTAGCCGGAAAAGACGCAATGAAGTCGAAATTTTCAGATGTGAGCTTGTAGGTTTCAGAGGACCCCAAGGTCCCAAATTTAAAGAGCCCAGTGCCACAAGAAGTAGTTATCGTCTTTATATTTTCTCATTTACATGGTCTGTTTTCATTCTTTTTGCTATTTAACAGCACCAAGTAGTTGTTTTCCATTGTTGTGTTGTTGTTATCAATAGTTACGTTGTTGAAAAATTCAGCATTGCTACCAAATTTGACTGGTGTTTATGGTTTTTACTTTTCCTGAGTTCAAATATGTACATTTGAATTGTGAATATACACACACAAACAATGTTTTATTGGTTGTGTGTGGCAACTGTCAAAGGGAGTGTGTGTCACTATCACTTAGGCACGGAGAATAGGGTATAAATAATTTTAACAACATTGGTGGTGCCCATTTTTTCCAAGTTGGAAGCTGGAACGCAAAACGAGTCCGTTACATCATTTCCTGCTTGGACTTTCCCAGTTCCGAGGACAACTGGAACACAGCAAAATGATGTCTGCATTTTTTTTTACTCCTCCGCCCTACTGGTTGAAAGTGGAATTACAGATGTCATAAAAACCTCTGCAGCTGTAGCTAGCACGTACAACAAGCTAACACTAGGAAGAGCCAACTAATACAAAAACAAACCACAAAGTAAAAAGAACCACACTGTTTAACAAATGTTATTATTGCTTACAAGTCCAGTAGCAACAAAGCCAGGTCACCATCAGTCCGTGATTTTGTAGCCTTCCTTTACTTGCTCAAACTAGCGTAGGCCGCGCCGATGTTCACTCTGGTTTTAGTTCTTATGCTCCAAAGACATTACTCTCTTACTTTTACTTCCAGGTGCCGCCATGATGCCAACAAACAGCAAACTTCTTTTTCTTATTTTTGTGCTTTTTATTGATGTTTGGTTAACTGAAAATACTAACCTCTTCTACGGCTTGACATTTACAGACTGACAATAATTCAGTTTGGGTTGAGTTAGCATTCAAGCTAGGTTGGTGTGCTAAGTTGAATGTGTAATATGGGCCATTCCCATCTGTACCGGGTCGGCCCGGGCCGGGTAGCGTAGGTTGTTTACATATCTGGGTGGCTTGGTATTTTTCCGAGCCAACCAAGGCTCATTCTCAGTCCTCTTCTCGAGGGGGTCTGCTTCAGGCCGACCAGGACCAACACACCCACTGCTGACAGCAAATTCACACCTTCCATTAGAGCAAGCCTCTGATTGGTGGGTAGAATCAGCCCACATGGGCTTCAGGCAAGGATGTGTGGAATCAACCGGGCCAGGCTGGGGCCGACTGGGGCTACCCGGCCCGGGCCGACCCGGTACAGATGGGAATGGCCCATTAGTGGATCATTCCATCGTGGATGCTGTGAATCGGGTTTCATTTTGTTGATTGATAGCACCCTCTTATAAACACACAACGCTATTGGTCAACACTCTAGGCTCATGTAACTGATTTGTTTTGGACTCCCTTGAAAATGAGGTTTTTATCTCAATGGGACCTTCTTGGTTAAATAAAGAATAAATAAATAAAAATAAAGGCCAGGGAAGGGACTTGGGGGGAATATAAATTATGAAAGATTACTTAATATCACAGAACAGGGTTAGATAGTCACATTTAACCATTACTAAGTAACTTTTTTTAAGTTACTTTAAAAACTTTAAATCCCCAGCTTTAAATTTTAAAGAAAAGAACAGTTGGTGAAGTGTCCAAAAGATGAATAATATTTTACATTTAGTAGCTGCTGTTATGTCACAGATAATTAATGCTTTATTGTTTTTCTTCCTTCCTCTCTTTCATGTGCTCAAAGCGGCAGATGGCGTGCCAGTCCAAAAGGATGGGGAGCAAGTAAGTCTTCATCTGTCCCTCGTTCCCACCTTGTCTTGTTGACTTCCTTTGGCAGTGGCCAGTGTCACCTCTCCTTACCTGAGGTGCTGAGTGACAGCTCCCCCTGCTCTCCGTAGCTCAGTGTTCCTGCTTATGTCGTAGATTAGAAAAGCAGCTCGATGTGAGTTGCTCAACTTCCACGACTTTTCGTCATCCGACATGGAGCGTTGCTCGTAGAAGTCTGAGCAACCACTGGTCTGCTTGGCTTATTGCTGGTGTTAGGATGCCTGCTGCTTTTTTTTTTTTTTTTTTTTTGTTACTGCACAAAGCAAAAACATCACTTTTCTTTTCTCCAACTTTTTCATTAGTTCTTTGTGTGTTAGTTTCTTTGTGCTGGGAAAAAATTAAACATTAGTATCTCGTTATAACGAGAAACAAATCCTTCATTCCCCCCCACCCCCGCACTGTCGGTAATATGCTGCCGTACCCTTGTATCAAGCTCTTCCTGTGTTTCACAGGAGAGGAAGCCATTTTTGGACTAAATTGTAGAGAACCCCACTATTTTACCCAAAGGCATCATTTATTTATTCATCACGTCCCAGTATGCCCTTCGGAAAGAAAAAGCAGCTACACACACACACACACGCACGCACGCACGCACACACACACACACGCACGCACGCACGCACGCACGCACGCACGCACACACACACACACACACACACACACACACACACACACACACACACACACACGCACGCACGCATGCACACACACACACACACACACACTGCATGTTTGACGTTGGCTATTGGAAAACAACGTCGGTAAGCTTCGAGGAGCCTAGCTCCACCACTCAAGTGTGTTAAATCTCTCGTCATTTCTACTGCTGCAGAGGGAGGAGTTGGGAAAAGTGTGGAGAAGGAGGAAGTGGGAGCAAAGAATAGAATTACAAGAAAGACATGTAAAGAGAAAGGAAGAGGCTGGTATTGATTAATAACATGATGCTTGGAGCTGATGGAAACATGTAATCCGATTACAGCTCTCTCTCTCATCCTCCCTTTGGTTACCAAACACTAAAAAAACCTCATCATTACATTATTCAGCAACACTAAAGTGACCAAATGCATCATTTTTGTTTACTTTGAATTATGACGCCAAAATCAACATAATTTGATTAAAAGCTTTAATCAGTCTACAGATTTACATATTTTTCTTATAAATTACAATATATATTATAATTCTGTAAACATTTTTTGCACTGTAGATACAGAATAGTGCTTGTTTTATATTTTACTTGAAGAAATGGTTTAAAAAACATTCAAAAGGGTTTATTTGGTGTCTAGTTGAGCCTATGAGGAGGTTTTTGTCTTTCCTCAATTTGTTGCTGCTCGTATTGTGATAAAAATATTTGTCCTTTTTGTTTGTTTTTCATTTTTCGGTAACCTAAAGGTTTCAGATCAGCAAACAAATTTCACATCGTAGAAAAACAACCTGAGAATACAAAATGCGGTTTTCAGAAGATGATTTCCTTTATTGAACGAAAAAAATCTATGCAGCCAACCTTTCTCGATGTTCCTCCCATAACTACTACTGATAAACACAACACAGCATTTTAAACTGGTCAGTGTGACACAACTCTTGTTTTTATTCATATCTAAAGACCAAGTTCACTGAGAAACACTTTTTAGTTGTTAATTTTGAAACATGATCGGTCACTTTGAGGATCACTCACAGGCTAAATGTGAATGTGTCAGTATAAGCATAATGTCAGTATAATGTGTCTTCTACCCGTTTCTTGCATTAGTCTGCGATTGATAGACAGGGAAACTCAGATTAGAAATGCCTGTGACATTAGCTTGTCATAATGTCAAATTAGCATGCTATTTTTAAGCACCCAGGAGAGAGCAGAGCACGTCTCAGCTAGAAGAAGCTAACCGGTAGCATTAGCAACTTCACATATGGCAGAATTCCCTCAGGCTTGTGTTATTTGTTGAGATAAAACCTCCATGTTGTACGTAGTAAACTGGGTCATCAGTGGCGTGGAACGGCAGCAGAACGTCACTGCTTCAGTTATGATTCATTATCGACTATGGGGTTGATCCAAACTGGCCGTGGCATGGAACTCGTAAGGCAGCAGCTCCCTGCGTAGCTAAAGATAGGATTGGATTCCAGGATGAGTCAATATCTGCAATTAACATAGGGCTAGGCAGGAAATCACACACGGCATCAGTGTAAAACATTTGGTAATTTTCAAAATAAAAGTCTATTGCAGAAATGTGATGTTGCATCTATGTATATAAAGTCTATATGTGTGACCTCACAGTTTATTTACTACCAGTATCTTTTGAGAATTGCAACGGTGTGTTTTTCTTAATGGATTAACGTGCGTCAAAAATGTTCCACGCCACTGATGTCCCCAGTGTGAAACTGGGGTTAGCCAATCAGAGGCGAGATGTCAGAATCTCAGGAAATCCAAATCCTGCCATGTTCTGCTTGTGTCTGCTTTAGCTCACTTCTAGTTCCTGAAACAGGAGCGCCAGAGCTTTTTTCCTACAGAGATCAACTCACTAGGCATTCATTTATACTAGAGACCAATTGTTTTGAAAACACGAATGAACTGGGTCTTTAAAGTCAAAGGACAGACATTCTCCTTCGGGATTTTCAGGTAGAGAGCAGAAATCATGATTTCATCATATGGACCAGAAAACCAGCCCCAGACCATCACACTACCACCACCATGCTTTAGCTGTTGGTATTGACCATCATTTTTGTTTTGTTTTAATATGCAGTGTTTAGCTTTGCCGGGATGCACTCCTTCAAGAAATTCATCTTTTGTTTCATCAGTCCACAGATTATTTTCCCCAGAGTCTTGAAGATCATCCAGATCTTTTATGTTAAATGTGAAACAAGACTTGGTGTTGTTTCGGGTCAGCTGAGGTTTTGGACTTGGAACTGTCCAGTGATTTTTGACTGTGTCTCTTTATTGTTTGTTGATTCATGAGCTTTGACTATAGCATTACCCAAGTGAGACCTGCAGTGCGCTAGATGATTATTTTGTTCTTGAGTACCTTTAAAACATGACATGATGTGTTGCTTTTTGAGATCTTTCAGCCTCCTTCTTGTCGTCAGATTCTATTGTGTGTGTGTGTGTGTGTGTGCGTGCGTGCGTGTGTGTGTGTGTGTGTGTGTGTGTCCTCCATCCCCAGTGAGTCGTGGAGGATGGCTGCTTGTACCGAGCCAGGATCCTCTGGAGGTTTCTTCCTGTTAAAAGGGAGTTTTCCTCTCCACTGTCACTTTATGCTTGCTTAGTATGAGGATTGCTGTAAAGTCACTGACTCAGTGAGTCAGTGACTTGATGCAATTTGCTGGGTTCCTTATATAGGAAACATTTTTTCTGATTGGCTTAATGAACTGACCTGAAATGGAATGTTTATTATGTGAAGTGCCTTGAGACGACTCTTGTCGTGATTTGGCGCTATTTAAATAAAATTGAATTGAATTGAACTGAATATTGAAGTGATTTTTAAATCCTACAGATTTAATGAGTCTTGGATGTGTTTGATTAAATTTAACTCACATTTTCAAACAATATGAACACTTACAAGGATTTTATTATTGACGGTCACACCTGGTTAGTTTGAAAAGCTTTGTTTTCTTTATAAATGACATGTCGTATTTCTCAGGCAATGATTTGAAAGATGTTTGATATGAAGCATTTAAATGAAACAAAAAAAGAAATTATGAAAAGAGACGTGGAATACAGCAGTCTCGCTAGCTAACTACGCAGTTATCTACAGTTGTGGTCAGAAGTTTACATACACTTGTACAAAATATAATATAATGGCTCTACTGAGTGTCCCGTTATTTCTAAAACTCTGATTTTTCTCTGATAGAGTGATTGGAACAGATACTTCTTTGTCACAAAAAACATTCATGAAGTTTGGTTCTTTAATGTCTTTATTATGGGTTAACAGAGAAAAGTGATCACATTTGCTGGGTCACAAATATACATACAGCAACATGATCTAGCAATTTTGGTGACATAGAAACGTGTCAGTGAACTGAGCTTCATAGCATGGCCTCTTAACTTCTTGTGAGTGATTATGAGTGACTACAGCGGGTGACTTCTCTTAGGCCAGGTAAATAGGGCTCATTGCATACAAACGCCCACAAACGCTACAATGGGAAAGTCAAAGGAGCTCAGCATGGATCTGAAAAAGCGAATTATTGACTTGAACAAGTCAGGAAAGTCACTTGGGGCCATTTCAAAGCAGCTGCAGGTCCCAAGAGCAACAGTGCAAACAATTGTTTGTAAGTATAAGGTGCATGGCACTGTTTCATCACTGCCAAGATCAGGAAGAAAACGCAAGCTATCACCTGCTGCTGAGAGAAAATTGGTCAGGAGGGTAAAGAGTGAACCAAGAATCACCAAAAAGCAGATCTGCCAAGAATTAGAAGCTGCTGGAACACAGGTGTCATTGTCCACAGTCAAACGTGTTTTGCATCTCCATGGACTGAGAGGCTGCCGTGCAAGAAGGAAGCCCTTGCTCCAAAAGCGGCACCTTAAGGCTCGACTGAAGTTTGCTGCTGATCACATGGACAAAGATAAGACCTTCTGGAGGAAAGTTCTGTGGTCAGACGAAACAAAAATCGAGCTTTTTGGCCACAATGCCCAGCAATATGTTTGGAGGAGAAAAGATGAGGCCTTTAACCCCAAGAACACCATGCCTACAGTCAAGCATGGTGGTGGGAATATTATGCTGTGGGGCTGTTTTGCTGCCAATGGAACTGGTGCTTTACAGAGAGTAAATGGGATAATGAAGAAGGAGGATTACCTTCACATTCTTCAACATAACCTCAAATCATCAGCACGAAGGTTGGGTCTTGGGCGCAGTTGGGTGTTCCAACAGGACAATGACCCCAAACACACATCAAAAGTGGTAAAGGAATGGCTAAATCAGGCTAGAATAAGGGTTTTAGAATGGCCTTCCCAAAGTCCTGACTTAAACCCCATTGAA